TATAAAACCGTGATACACAGGGGCACGTTTATTTACTTTTACACAATATCAATAAACTGATTTATGGTAGTTAAATATTGTTTAACTTTACGTTGGGAATTCATTGTTTTTTATTTGTTTTTCACTATTTATTTTACAATTATTTTCATTTTTCCTACGCTAAGCTAACACACGGCTAAACGCTTATATAGATCACAAAATAGTTTTTACTCGAATATCAGCTAGGTACCTACATCATAGTATTTTTAATTTTAATAAAAAAGTAAACAAATGTTTATAAAAAATAAAACAATCATTTCTTTTGCACATCAATGTTTTACTTTTTAGTATAACCATAAAGGTAAACTGAACATAAGTAATATATATATCATATATAATAGTATGAAGATATTACATAGTGCAATTGTCTTATTTGTCAGTACAAATCTCAACATCCGCCGGTTTATTGAATTACTGCCCTACACACGATCTCTGTAATATGCGCAGACTAATCACTAGGGTGCGGATTTGTATGTATTAAAAATTCAAAAATATGTATTTAATTTTCTCCAAATATTTAATTAAAAATACAAGATAATATGCAAAAAAAAATTATAAAATTAGTATATCAAATAAGTAGGTAAATATAAATTATACAACACTACGTTTTATTACTATTTTATTAACATTAATTAGGAGTACATTCGAATCAAGTATTTATTCATTTGAGTTGGGATGCTGAACGACATCTATTTCAAGTTGGAAATCACATTTTCAATGACTCTATAATTGTCTCAACAATATGCAGCAGCATATAACCTGCAAGTACCCCGGCGAGTTATCACTGTCTCCGGGGGAAGAGGTGTTTGGGGGTAATTTTCTTTAAATAAATTTACACGACTGGGTGCTTTGAGGAAAATTTTTTTTTATAGTTGATTTCAAAAAATCAACTTCGGAAAATTCTGATCTAATTTAACCCGGAGAAGATAACGCATAATATAAAACGGCGATACATTATTAATTTTGTAACCAGCTCAATATTTAACATAAATATGTAACGCGAGTAAAATATGTAATTAAGATTAAATATGTGAAAATATGTAATATCAACCACGGCTTAAAATAATCAAATAGTCCTGTAACATATTTCTGTAAAGGAATCATTCGAATATTATCATTCGCGACAAATACATTTATACATGTAAATACATACAAATCCGCACCATAGTAATCACCAAGCATGTCGCCCCAAATTTTTCTTTCAATAATAAATGTATTGAATTTTTAATTTTTGGATATTGTTCCTAGAATTTCAATGTAAAAAAATCGAAGTGAGTATCTAGTTAATAAGTTAATAGAAGGTTTCTATCTATTTAAGATAGGTATAGATGATCATATCATTGAAACAGTGCGAAGTGTCATGGTATTAGGTATCCTCTTTTGAAGGGGGCTTGGGGGGGGGGCTTTAGCCCTCTCACAGAACGTAATCGAGCCCCTCGGTTTTAGTATCACTGTTTTACTTACAACATAGGTACATATGATAGTATGATACAATTGTAAAAAATAATCAAAACGTTTTGCACGAATTCGTCAAATAATTATTCGTAAGAATTAATTTTTTTAATTTGTAATAGAAACATGGTTATCTGAGTTGGTATATAACCAGGGTTTAAAGTGATGTTCGAGTATTCCAGTTTTCTTCGTTCCAGTTTCCAACGGCAGATATAACTTATTAATACGATGTTCTACGGTACTACAACGGCGTTTGCGCATGTGCCACGAAGAAATGTATCAATGATATTGTAATTAGAGCTGGGCGAGACCGGAAGTACCTACCTATTTATAATTTTTATTGATTTATGTGTACTGTGTTAACTAATTTTAAATTATAATTAATTCCACAAACGCTAAAGTGTTTGATTTCTTCAATACCAACAACACCTTAATTTTGTGTACAGGAAAAAGTTTATCCAAATCTATTAATACCGATACAATTGTTGGTATATTTGCACAAAGCAATAGATTTATATAACATCAAAATAAAAATAAACGATTAGTAACCATCAATAATTTAATAATTTGTGTTCCAATTGCCTATACCATATTTGGTGCCTCGTCTAGAATAAAGTAGGAGTAGCTACTAGTCAGCACCCACGGTGAAGTGTCTGAAAATGGGTGTTTACGCTAGGTAATTGATAAGGTAAAAATTGTAAGCCCTCCTCCCCCCTCCCTCATGGATGTGACCAATTATCCGCCTATGGATAAAAGATTGCTCCACTAGTAACATGAAAAACTAGTATATAATGACTTTAAAATAATCACCATGATGTATATTATTGTTTATATATTGGATAGCCACGTGTATATGGGTAAGTGGTGATCGTTTGAATTTGTATATTACCTAAACTAGGAACTAATTAACGAACAAATGTATACTGTACTTGTAACGCAATCGTCTATGAATTATTTTTTAAAAACAACGCTTAAATATTGATAGGAACAAAAGTTATTTCAATTGTCAGTTGTTTCTGTTCACAATAATGCATAGTAAATAGATAGTTCATTAGTATAGCGATATTCGAAAATGGAGTGTGGACAGAGAGCGCATGCAAATCGGGTAGAAAATTTCTAAACGTAGTTGGTATACTTTAGAGTTCGGGGGTTAAAAAATTCTCAGTACTTTTGAAAATAATAATTTAATGAACGAATAAATAACTGAATATATACATAAATAAATAATGTTGTTTTCGGTGTACCTATATAAAACCAAAAGAAAAGATATACCTTAGATAGTTAGGATAGAATTACATTTTCCCCAAACGTTTTTTATAAGTATTTTCTACAAAATATAGTACATTTTTCAAAATATCTCAACTTATTTTCAGGTATTTTTTGACGTTTTTAGTTTTTTCCTCTATAAATGTCAATACAACGTTTTTCACGAAGTTTAAAAAAAAATGTATTCAACCTGCTAGCTTAGTCGTAATATCATTATCGGTAAAATATGAATATATCATACAGCAATGGAACCTCGTGACAGCTCGTCTTCGCACAGAATCGTTTTTCGTATGTATGCAATAATTTTATCGTTGAATTCAAATTTAACATATCCATCACAGTGGTTTCTTAGACCAGCGGTTCCCAAACTTTTACGACCACGGCACAATTAAAAAATTGTTTGTGTTTCGCGGAACCCTAATGTCTAATCCAACTCAACTTCAATTTTTCTAAATAAAAAAAGGACAATCTATTCTATAAACTCTCAAGTCTAAATAATATTTTATTGATACTGTTAATGAATTTTCATTATTAAACTTAGTTTAAAAACAATTTTCAATCAGAATTGTTTTAAATAACAAACATTAAATAAACACAATAATCTCAATAATCTCATACATCTGGCGGAACCCTTGACATTGTCCCACGGAACCCTAAGGTTCCGCGGAACACTCTTTGGGAAACGCTGCCTTAGACAACTAATGTACAGCTGGCAGTTACCAACTCACCAGCTTTTTCATGTCGCATGTTTTATGAACATTTTGGGGTGACTTACTCAATGACGATAGTGTAGATGCACTCAACACCTACAATATAGTTACTGTACTGTGCAGCAGAGTGGTTGCCTGGTTATTGTTTTTAAACATTTTTTTTTTTATTCTTTGAGAGTGGTTTCTGGTAGAGAATTTGATCTCGTTAATATTCTGTGGGTGAAAGTAAAAATTACTCAGTGATTTTCAAATTTTTTTTTTGTTTTTGAACCTACCCTATATTATTATTTATTACAGTCGAACTTGGCCAATTCGAACATTTTTTCAACCCGAAATCGCCGATTCTTCGAATACTTTTTCTCGGTTTTTAGAATTGTCGATTATCGTATTATTTTTAAATGACTCGATTTTTTTTTTTTTAACTCGAACGTTTTGCCCATCGACTTTGAGTTAACCAAGTGCGACTGTAACAGTAAAATGTATTTTCACTGTAAATAAATAATAGTTTTATTTATTTATATAGCCGTACCACTATTTTATAACCAATAATATAGTAGTTATATGCAGTGGCAGACCGTCTTCGCCCAGAACCGTTTTCCGTGTGCGATGATTTATCATCAAATTTAAATAACTCATACATTACAGTTACTTATAGTTATACCACTAACGAGGTACATCACACCTAGCTATACCGTACAACAAAGCGTTTACCTTACTTTCCCTCTGTTTTTTTTTTTTTTATAAACTTGTATTATGTATTTACTGAACGGTATTCACTGAATAATATCAGCTATAAACTTAGGTGCTTTGTAAGTTTTTTCATTCAGTTGCGGCTCAGAGGTGTCTGTGCCGTTTTTGCCAATTTGCCGCCATTGTATGAAATTCGAAAATTTGAAAATAATATTTCATATGTAAGTTAGTGTCTACACATTATAATAGCTTTTACATTAATTCACTGCCCGATACCTATTTAGGGAGGGGGTTGATAGGTGCGGTGTATCAACGAAAATGACTTCACTGGACAAACTCTCATCACGTCCCGTAGAATGGTCAGATTTCGTTGATTTATTTTTTTTTATTTAAAAGAAGATAAATTTTTTTCAGTCTTAATTTTAATTTTACTAGTGCATAAATTATAGTGCTAGAAAAATAAGTTTGAAAAAGAACCAGATTTGAGCATTATTCAAATGCATATTTGAGCTTTTATAATTATAGTTTTGAAAATCGAGCTTTGGTCCGACCTGAAAAATGTTTTCTTCTTTTAACTAAAAAAAAAAAATTAACGAAATTCGACTATTCCACAAGGCTCGAGAGTTTTTCCCGTAAGACATGTTTTTGCACTAAAAACGCACCTTCCCTGACGGCCTTCACATACTTCTCGGACAAATAAATTCCTACTGAAGTCATGGAATTTGATGTCACAACAAGCTATCTGTGGGTAGGTGCATACGTAGGTACTCCATAAGCTAATATTTATTTTATTTTAGATAATAATAACACAAATTAACATAAATAAAAGCAAAAAATACAAGCTATTATAACATTGATTCTTATTTCTTACTGTTAATACGACTATATTTCTGGCAATTAGTGTGAATTGAAGACGTTTCGATGTCGAACCGACGAGTTCTTCAATTAATTATTGAGAACACTTAATTATTACATCCACGGCTAGGTATTTATTATTATAACAATATTTTTAAACGAAAAACAAGAACAATCATACGATCAATCAACCGAATAGTTACACACATATACTATATTAAATAAATATGAAAAAATACGTTTCCCGACAAGTGTTGCAATCCTTAAAACACGAATTCGACTAAACTAATTAAAAACAACATAATATATTTGGGAGGAATGCCCTTGGTATGATATTAAAATAGAATAAAACAAATACCAAAATTGTTGCACCGAATGCTTTTAAGATTCTGTCCATCCATACAAATCTGAAAATGAATGTTCAAATAAAATTGTATTAAATCAAAACTCTCGCAATGAATATATTATATTTAATATATAATATAATTAAATGTGTTTATTAATATATATTTTCTGAGATGAAATCCTATCAAATTATTTCATTATTTCAATGACGTGTTACCGGTTAAATAGTTTTCTGGCAAACGGTAGTTTTGACTCGTCGACATTAAACAGATACTTCTGAGAGCCGATCGTCGCATTTTTTATGAACTCGGTGATGTCTATATCTTTGAAATCGTAGTCAAACTCTTTGCGGTCCACGTCTGGTATCTTATCGATTAATCCCAAAAACTTTGAGTTTTCAAATTTCCAAGATTTTGTGGTAAAGTAAGACAATGCCATCGTTATCACGTAGATTTTTTGTTGCAAAGGTAACAAGCGTCTAAAACGGAAAAAAGGTGTATCGGTTTATGAAGTAAAAATTATCTTCAAATAATAACTAATAATATTATGCGACCAGGAGCGTAATTCAAGGGGGGGGGGTGGCTATTACATACCTCCAAAACTTTTTTTTATTTACCGTTGAAATTTTGATCAAATTATAGTTATAGCGACAGTTCAAACTTAAAATAATATTTTTAAAACCAAAAAGAAAATTATGATTTTTAAATTGTATTAGGTACTAAGTAAGGGCAATTTAGTTTTGATGTAGGACCAATATAACATTAATTAGATGTAGTGTGTTTGGGGCAGACCATATTAAATTGTATTATTTATGTTGGCTGTTTATAGAACATTATAATGTTAATCATAGAGATGCAATAGATGATATTTCCAAATTCTAAAAAACTAAGAAAATTGTCTCTATAGTCTTATAAGACTATTCAATTAAAAGCCGCTTAAATACCAATTTAACATTGTTAAATTTTAATTATAATAGTTACAACTTATAAAATATAATACCATAAATTTATAGTCAATATAATTGTTTATTAAACTGTATTTAGTAGTATAGACAATATAATTTGAGGATGACAACTCGCTAGGTATTTGTTTCTCTCTATCTGGCGGGACGCACAACTCAGACAAAACGTTCACACATTTTTAGACACACGAATTCTAGAGTAAAATCTTCGAGTACGAAAAATGGAAAAACTAATATTTTCGAAGGTTTAACACATTATCTACTAGTCCAAAATAATTGTTAAGTTGTCTCAAAACAGTGTAATTTTAATTAAAACTACTTGTAACACAGTTTATTTTTATGGTGATTTTACTCTTGGAATAGTCAAAAATCGTAAAAACAATTTTACGTGAATGCTAATTATTTCTTATTTTATCTGAGAAAAAAAAATATTGGACTGACATCCTTTTAAAAAATTCAGTTTCATATAGAGTTTAAACATATATTAGATAATGGTATGACTGTTTGGGGCTCACATATTTTTACTAAAAATGAATCCCCCCACCCCAACCACTGGAGAAAATTCCTAATCATGCCTCTCCATAATATGCTGCAACAGGCCTGTCAAATACGTGTCCCTCGCCTAACTTTTTTACTCTTCCCACGGATAGCAATATTAATGAAAAATTAATTGTAAAAATAAATGAATAAAAAAAAATCATGCCAACCCTCGTTTTGTGTCACAATATTAATAATTATGTTAGTGAAAGGTACGGGATTATTTTACATTTATGTCTTATATTCTAATACGTTTTAATTGAATAAGTTATATCAGTATTGTTATTTGTAATTCGCAATGAATAAAATTAAAAATGTGAATGAGATGTTTTTGTTTTGTTTACGGTCCACATAACTATTTAATATATTTTGTACAGTTAATTCTTCTAGTTCGAGTGTTAAATGTATTGTAGCTTATTACAAAACTACTAGCGATACAATAATATTTAGCATAAACATATTATAATGTTATCAAAATGTGTGTTTTAAACTTGAACTGAATGTTTGCGGAACAGCATCTCATTTTAATTTGCAAATCATAGGTACTCATAGTTTAACAAAACGAATACATTTTTGTATATATTGGGTTTTGTCGATAATGTTAACCTTTTACTATTTCCATAGGTATATTGCAGTGGTATAGGCGTCGTACCTATTTGGTTCAAAAAATTGTGCCAATGTCAACGATCAACGTGTACAACTTTTATAAGAATGTCAAGTGGTACTACTCATTGAATATTGTTTATATATAGACTATAGTTATGCTTTATAATTTATGACTTTTTAATTTTCTTTTTTTTCTTGTAGTCTTGCACATAATAGACCAAAACGGTAAAAAAATTCGGTTCGTATGACATAGAGTCAGATGCATTAATTTGTAACTAGGCCTTAGCAGGAATGTATACAATTACAAAAAAAAAAAAACAGTAAAAAAGTACAGATTTTGAAAAATCATTTTACCATAAAAAAAAAAACTAATTAATTGATAAATTTTAATGTACAGTGTGCACTGTGTCCTCATTACTACCGTAGACGACAAACAAAGTTTCATCATCTTACGAAAATTCGTTATCTGGCAATCCACCTAAGATCATATTCAAAAACCTCAAGGAAATTCTCATCGTTTAAATCGGCGTATAGAGTGTACCTTTGTAATGATATTAATCAAAAATAATATTCCTATTGCTATAGTCTGCAGTTAAATTTGCTTTTTTTTAAAATTAAATTGAATGCGAAACAACAAAAACAAAGCGTCAGGTTAATTACTTTTACATTATAATATTATTTATACATTATTTTTCAATGCAATTTATAATGCCATATTTCATTATTTTGTGACAATACTTTGATATTTTTTTAGAGTTTTTACGGTCATATAAACGTCCTTAGCATAATTTATAACTCCTATATTTTGTGGAATTCACGAAGTATGTAAATGAAGGATTCAGAGCTTACGTTTTTTTTTTGGTTCATAAAATAAGAAACTGAAAATAGAATCGTATTGCAAATATTAATTTTGTAATGTGCAATTTAAAAAAAAAAATCTACAAAATCTTGTTTTCCACGGAGCTTGAGCGATTTCTGCGAAACAACTAAATTTAAAATTCTCAGGTTGTTATATGTATATACAATTATGTACCGATATATGGGCCATGGCTTTAGGTCGTGTACGAATGTACCTATGTGACCATTAATACCACTGGACCAAGGTCATGATAAAAGCATATTATCATTTTACAAATCATAAACCGAATGACGTATGATGCGAAATTAAAACATTTGATAATTATGCATGCACCTAAAATGTATAACTCGTAATATTATACGCCAAAATTATTAAAAAATTAAGGCGTACTAATTTAATTTTTTAACTTTTGAATGATAATATTCTAGGATATCTTGATCATTTAAATAGTTTTAAGTGCCCGATTAATTTTAATAATTTTAATTTTAATGTAAAATTCTATCGTAAACTCATACCTAGTCTAAATAATATCAACAATATTTCTGTACTTTAATGTATCTGTGATGTAGTTTCTTATACGATTTAGGTTGATCCTACAAAAAGTTTTGAGTTGTAAAAACTTGCATAATAGACTATAGTCAGCACAGTAAAAGTCCAAACAATTATTATACTTTTGCACCGAGAAAATCGATTTGGCCAATCTCAAATACCTGTAGCGAAAAAAATGTATCCTATTTTTTATATTAATATCAGATTTATAAATAAAACATTGCCATTGAATTATTCAGACGGACGAAATGTGTGCACCGCAAACCGATTTCGTTATTTTGTTATGAAGACCTTGGATTTGTAGCTATACTCAACAATATCTAATTTGTATTGTCTTTCGCAATGAAAGAAAGCACCTATTATTTATTTGTTATCAATTTGTCCGATAAATCTTTTTAAATCTGGATTCATCGTATTTTTTTACACTATACTTCATATTTAGCTACCTGGATAGATATAGTAGGTATGAATTATTTTTTTACAAAGTCACTAATTCGGTGCGACGAAGGCACCTATCTAATCTGTAATACGTTACTATCATAGTGAATTACATAGCATGATTATTTATAACTAGTACCGAGTGACCGAGCTCAGTTCGGGTTCAGTTTTTCAAAATGCGTTTGTTTTAATTTCAACACCAAACGGCAGTATTATAATTCCATAATTCTACATAATATATTTGTTACAATGTCTTACGTTATTTTTCGAATAACGAAACAACAAAAAATCTTTAGCGCTGGGATTAAAAATATTTACGATTATTTTGATCAAGGCAGTCAAGATGAATTAAGGCGAGGTTGAAATGGTGATCAAGTCGTCTGGAGTGTCCAAAAAATGGGTTTCATCAACGAAAGATCGTCATCTCGTTGATGACTATATGCTTTGTACATGACGATGTTACAGAGCAGCCTGTATATTAGTTAATGTTTCTCTCAATATTAATAGTGTGACGAGAATTTTATTTTAGTAAAAGCATTTTTAAGCTGTCTTTTTGTTTTACTCGCGAAAAAGCCACCCACAACATTCCACGCATAAGTATACCGGTGTTTGTAAGTCTACACCAAGGCAAACTCAAATTTTTGAACCTTGTGAGCTGTCGTAAAAAATGCTGGTGTCTTAACATTATGTCTGTAATAACAGAAAGAAAAAAATTCTCGGAATTCTCGGTACCGTCTACAGCGCTCCCGTTTCGTGTTATATTTATGGTCCAGGGTTTGAAGTCAGAATTAGATTTTTCTCTTCTATTTGTAAAGTAAAAAAACAATAAATGTTCATAAATGTTTATACGCACTTAATAAACCGATTTTGGTATAATGAACTTTTAATACGATCGACCGATACTCCTCCTCTAAAGATCGACCAGTCGATAGCGATTGGCTGGTTTTCGACCCCAGGGTATAGGATATGTAAGCATGTAACTTCGATAAGTTTTCTACGTAATTCAACGATTAAATTGAGTTCAATAGTTCTTACTAAAATGTTATTTACCACTATTGGCCCGACGAATAATTTTCCAACGGCTGTGTAAATAATGAATCGTTTACCGTAAAGTCGTATGTACTTGGGGCAAACCCTACAAATTCTAAAACGTGTACCTACGATTATTTTCTACTCAAATTGACGACGGTACGTCGTTCTTTCTCAAACTTTACGTCCAAAAACCGATACACAAAATGTGAATAAATTGTCAACGATTATGACACCATGATTATAATAATAATAATGTATATTATTTATTGACCACTTTCAGAGGCCAGTTACTTCACCCATCCTCCGCAGCACCAATAACCCAATAAAGGCATTCCCCGTAATGTCTGTAAGTTGTAACTAAACCTACTTGTTGTAAATTGTTATTAAAATAGGCGGATACTGTAGAAAACAGTTAATTATAACTTATCCAGGTGGCCATCCGGCCATCACAAACCCATCACCACCACGCAGAAAACTCGGCGGTGACCTATGCATTCTGATCGGTGGCCGTTGTTAACAGCTCAAAAGTATGAACAGTTGTATGATTTTTTTTAATTTCACTGCAGTAAGTGAACAGATGTCAGCTGAGTTGAAACCAAAACGGACCTCCGTTTACACATATTAAACGTTTCAATACACCTAACAATATAGAAACAGCCGATAGTGGATGGGTCGATAGACGTTTTCATACTTGTGCGGTTTCCCAATCAGGTCCAAGAGCGCGTCGAAAAATATCGCCGGCAAGACTTGCTCGATAATCGTGGAGATGTAGTAGGAGTAAAAGCAGGTCGTAAACTTGATCGTTGGACGCCACAACATTTCATCGAATGGATATTGTTCGAGAGTTCTCATGCCCAAATCCAATAGTTCTTTGTTTGACACCGATTTCGATACAGATGCACTGTTGTAAACGGGGACGGCATCGTCCAACTCCAACCAACTGAAAAAAAAAAAACATAAAACGAATCAATATTATAAGATAAATTATATAGGCAGGTGGTGATATGGAGTGCGATAGTAATAATAATAATAATAATAATAATAATAATAATAATAATAATAATGTAATGAGTAATAACTAACGAGCAAATAACAGTCTTGTATTAACATAATAGCAATGCGACTTCTTTAAAATATTAAAACATAGACCTGAAGTGAATCGCGGAAAGAAATCTCAGACGATGAAACTTTCGGCATTTATAACAGTTTACTCGAAATAAAAGTAATTTTTTTTTTAAATTTTTTTATTATATTATACATACAATTAAATACATACAATTGAATAAAAAAAATTATATACCTTCCGCAAGCATAGCTTCTGTTGAATGTATAGGGTTAACTATTTTTATATAAACTAACTTAGTAATAATAACTAACTTCGAGTACCAAAATAAATATAAGCAAATGTCGAAGACTTTCTAAGAGCAATAGTTCATAACATAAGAAAGCGCTGCAATGACCACATAGGTGATATCATTACGATCGCATTTCATTTCACTTTATAGACGATCATTATTTTCATAATATAGCCCTCGGTATGGTGGCTGACTACAGACAATGCAATCACCTAATATATACCAGTGACATCACATGTATGTATTTTATATTTTAATTTATACGCAATTATTATTATTACGATTATTATTTTATAATAACCGCCCGCATCGCGGCAAACATTTTTTAATAATGATATAATTTTTGTAGTGTATAGGACAATTTCAATCAAATACCTGATAAATTGTCACATCATACACAATATTAATTGTATTTCTAATGTACAATTTACGAAATAATTCTCAAAATTAATAATTCACATTTAACGCATCCACGTGTACCTACAATATACCTACGATTTCTGTCATCATTTACTTCTATTATGGCATTATCTGATATTAACACTAATTATTCTCACGACCGTACCACTCTGCCCCACCGACCCGACACACTCCGTCTATAAATTAGTATAATAATATGGTCTGTGGACTGTACCCACCTGTGCGGGTGTAATTTACTATATCCGTTTTATCCGAATGCTCAAAATATACCCATGACGAAAACAGTTTATCCAATTTATATTTAAGAGGACTCTACCCCATGCATTTGCTGTGTCCGTCTTACACACGAACGACATTGAACATTTTCGTTCACTATTTTCAATGGTGTGCTGTTAGTTTTGACATTGGAGCGCATTGACCTGCGATCAAAGTTGTGGCGTAAGAACATTATCTGTGCTTGAGCGTCTGCGGATTTTCGGATATTTTAATTTTCAAGCGAGATATGAGCATTTTTGATTTGTGTTATTTCGCGTAGGTACTCCTCGTATCTCGCTTGAAAATGAAAATATCCAAAGTCCGCCGACGCGCAAGCATAGTCACCTAAAAGTTTGATAATTCTTAAATTCACTGTAATATCAAAATAATTAGCGGCACACTGTTCAAACTAGTGAACGAAAATTTGGTACGTCGTAAGTTGGCCGTAAGACGGAGACAACAATAACGTGTGGGTAACATCCTCTTAATACCAGATCGATAAATAAAAATGTCTAATATTGTCATTGAATTATTTAGACGGACGTTATAATGTGTGCACCACAAATCGATTTCATTATTATGTCTTGAAGATCTTAGTAGTTAGTAGTAAATACCTACTTAAGGGGCCTGCTCGTGCGCCTTTATTTAGCGGCGATATTTAGGCAACAAGTAATTTAGTTACTGCCGCCCATGACATTAGTGTTGGTCGTCAATGATATTAGTGGTGAGTGTGCTTGTAAGTTGTAACCACCGAACTATCTACTCACGCACACATGTCAACGGCACCGCGGACCAAAAATAAAAAACGTGATGTTTTGCACAAAACACGCTTTACAGGAAAAATTCTCCTTAGAATGGTCAGATTTGATTAAAATTTTTTTTCTGTTTGAGGAAAATTTTCTACAGGACGTATTGAACTTTGCCTTTTCCTTAAATCAAACATAGTAAAAATAACAAAAGCTCGTAGAAATTGGTAGTATTCGAAACCCTATATCGTGAGAAGTGTTTCTTTTAAAAAAAAAATATCGAAATCAGATCGTTCTAAAAGGCGTGAGAGTTTTTCCTGTTGGAGGCATGTTTTTAAGCAAAATCATGATATGAAAAAAAGTGAAAAAAGTTAATTTTTTAATTTTTTGCAACATTTCATCGGCATGTCAACCGTTTTTTTTAGTTTTGCTAAAAAACTAGTTGTACGCAACTATTGAAAATTAGTCCGCAAAATTATGCAAATTATCCGCAAAATAACGTATATTACAGTATATGAAGAATCGGAAATGTACATGCTGTCGAAATGGAGCTAAAAAAAAAAACAGGTCACGGCGTGCAGGCCTCTTAATCATAATATCTAATTTGTATTATTTTTTCACGAAGAAAGAAAGTACCTATTGGTTATTCGTTCTCGATTTGTCCGACAAATCTCAAATCTGGATTCATCTTATGTTTTTACACTGTACGTCAAGCATAGGTAAGTAGTATGTATTTTTTTTTTTTTAGAAAGTCACTTATTCGGTGCTACGAAGGCACTTGTCGAATCTGTAATACGTTACTATCACGTATTGTACCCACCTATGCGGGTGTAGCTGACTATAAATCCGTTTTAGAAATCGCTAATCGCATTTTTACTGCCCACCAGCTGTCCACTGCATAATTGGCGAGTTCTATTTACAATCGCTCGAATTAAATTGCAATGTCACTGGAGTTTAAGACATTTTAATACCTGCTAATAATATGTAAGCCTACTGCGACATTAAGACGTTTGGTGGCTAATTTTGAATTCCGAGCATTATTAACCCGAGGTAACGGCCCAAGTTACTTTCGTCTATTCTAGTCAAACAATTTTCGCTGTTTCACAGCTGTATACAGTGGTGAGGGGGAATCTGATTTAAATATTTAATAAACCGAACCAGAGCATTCCCTGCGCACCTACCACTTTGGACCGGCAAATTATTCTGAAGTACTCACCCGCAGACTAAACCCACCCGCCTAAGGAGATTTGTAATCATTTACAGTCGTGTTCTACAGTAATTACAACTCGACAAACACAAATATTAATATTCTGTCGAATAACTGCGTATAATATGTACTTACTTTGATTTAGATCTGTGCCAAGCCGCTACGATCATTGATTTTATGGAAATATCGACGGCCATGTAATCGGGAACTATCGATTTATCGCCGTATGTCACTCGAACAATCCCTTTGCCGCATGCCATCATGAGTCCGATTGGTCCGTTAAAATTATCTATCCATCCTTTGACGGGGTCATTGACCGACGATATAACTGTAATGGATCACAACGTTTGAGCGTAAGGAATATAATAGTATAATACACTTAGCTAGGGTTTTAAATTTTCATGAAATGTATTTCCTTGAAATAATTCATTTGTGTTAGACAAAAAAATGTTTTTAAATATTTTGTATTATATCTAAAAGTGTATAATCATAAACTTACAGCAATAGAACATTTATAAAAGTTGGTTTATACAGAATAATTTATTAGGAGTTACTGTTCTTATATTTTTTATACTACCTATAATACATAATAGTCAAATGGACAAATGACACAATATCATTTATAATGCCTACCTATAATACTTATGGGCTGCGGTCGTTTGAGCGAAGGTTAATAATCATTCCGACCAAAATATTAAAAGTCCGTGCAAACGTTTTTAAAAATATGGATCATTATTGATAATTTCTATTATGCAAATCGTATACGATTTTGTTTCAGTAATACCGACATTTTTTATCAAAGCAGTTTGCCTAATATCATCACTACACTTTTACTACTTGTACGATATCTTTTTGATATCAAGAGTTCATTATCAATTATATATTTTTATTGTTGCAGTATGCATTTTGTAACTATGTGACTTAATTTTTGCAATGAATAAATCAAATCCCTGTACACCTATTCATACTCATTCGCCCAAGCGGCATTTTTTATGGAATAAGCACTCGCTCAATCGGTACCTATATAGGTAACTATTGGCCCAATGGTCAACGCCCATAATTTATAATCATTTCGATAGTAATTCGTAAACATTGGTTGAAAATAGTCATTCGTTAACTATTTTTTGGTTGTGAAATCAATAATCATTTCTAATCATCTATAATATTGAAGTTCAAAAGAAAAAAAAAAATATTTCATGATTTCACTGAAATATTTCAGATTCAGAATCCTAACTATATAACTAAAACACAATATAATATGGGCTCGTAATTATTATATTCGTCATCGATACTGGAAGTAATGTAGAAACTGAAACAGGCGCATAGCCAGGATTATTTTTAGGGGGAGGGGTATTTTAAACTTAAATATTGTGACCTTTGGAAGGAGTGTTGTACACAATATTCGTAAAAGTTGCAATCAGAATATATCTTTATTACAATATTATCAGAATTTTAAACAGAACCATAATATATGGTGACATATTTTTTATATACCCTAAGCCACTTGGTGTTTATATTTTCCGAATTAATGCGTTCACGGGGAGGGTGAGTGTGATATGAAACCAACCTCCCCCCCCCCCCTAGCTACGCCCCTAAGGACATTGCACATTGCACATAAGTACAAAACATAATATAAATAAAGTTACCTATTTATATTTACACCAGGCAAGTTAAACTCAAAGTATCAATAATGGACCAAATATATTAAAAATTTTAGATGCAGATACCAAATAGAAATGTATCTAAAAAATAATATTTTAATTATAAGTTACAATACCAAACATTACCTTCAATTACTGTTCATCGGAAAATAAGTAAAAAAAAAACATGTATACGCCTCTTTCTTACACAGTTGTGCCAATAGTTATAAAATAAATTAAGAAAAAAAAACTAGTAAGTTACTGGTAAAAGTAGTTCATGTTTCATGGGTAACAGAAATTATTTATAGAATCCATCTCAATGCACGTTATACCTACTTGTAGAGCAGGCATGTCAAACACGCGACCTTTTTTTATGGAGGCTTCAAACACCAGTGAACGATTAACAATTAAAAAATGTAAAAATGATTCAATAAAACAATCTATACAACTTTCATTTTGTGTCACAACTGGGTATGTCGGTAAGAGCTGGTATCGTACATTATGTTTGGGATAGTTAAACTATACCAAAAGCTATAGAAAATAATACAGTTTGTTATAGTTTTCTGTGTTTTATAGTCTGATAAACTGAAATTGAATGAGTACCCATCTCTTCGTGTTGTAAGTGACGAATGAAATAAAAAAATTGTGTCCATAAAATGTTTTTTTTTTGATATACATTTCAATGTGCGACCTGCATAGTAAACTATTGGATACATTCGGCCCAGTTAAAGTTTCGAGTTTCACACATGCCCGTCATAGAGTGTTGTAGGGCTGTCGGTATTTCATTCGTCCATACCGGTATCCAGTATGTGTTACCGGAAATACCGCCAGCCCCAGAGTATAGCAGGAGTTCAAGTATAGTTATATGGACCTGTGTGAAAAAATGTTTAGGAAAAAATTAGTCCTTAATACAAGGAATAAAGTCGAACTCGGAGTGTTGAATTATGCAAATTATTACAACCACAGGTACACATCGTCGATATGTATATTATCATGTTTGATTCGATTATTTTTTTTTTTTTACCGGATACAGTTAGCAAAAAGTCGTGTACCAAGTCACTTAAAACCAAACCAAAGCCAATACTTATCTATTTCGGACATATCAACGTACGATGTAGTGTCAAATATTACAACGCGACAATGCAAATTCAAATTATAATAAATTCGACCCGGCGGGTACATTACAATAATCGGACAGAGGTTATATTTTATACGGTCCTCAACTCGGCCGACTTGCGTGAAACCGAATTCACTTTGGGTACAGCAAGATTGAAAAATATTTCCTAAAATTCATTCTACAGCCGGCTTTTGTAAATTTACATAATTTGTTTGTCGTGTACGCTGTCTATGTTTGGTTAGGATATTATTCAAATTCGTGCGACGTGATTTCTTTCTGTTTTCATTATTATTACAACAGCAGCGTAGGTAGGTACCCATATCGTACCTACCCGTAATATACTTGTGTTACGAACACGGAAACGTTCCTTCCGGGCCCGTTGTGTTTCGCAACCCGAGGGGATTGCAACCGGAAATTAACGCTAGTTGTTGCGTTCCGAAAATAAATAGCTGAGCCGGTACGAAAAAGTGTTGTACCTACTCACGGCGCTCCGGGATTTCATTTTTTTTTTTTTTGTAAATCCGAAACGCGCCCCAAAATGTGTAAAATACAAACTGTGGAATTACAGACGAGGGCGGTGTTACAGAGGTTTTTAAGACTAGCAAATTCTCCAGAATCCAGATACGGCAAACTATCGCCTAACATTATGTTTGGCCGGAGGAAATATCGTTTTATTGTTTATTATAATTTATTGACCCGAACTTTTTTTAAATTTGTTGTATTTCGTATTATTATTAAAAATTCAAACGTGTATTCAATTCGATTAATGATTTTATATGGTACCCTATAGTATACCTCACAGGCTAAAGTCATTTCTTTACATTATTATTTAGTATAATTCAAACATTTGACTTTTTTTTTTAAATTTTTGAGTTCACGATTTTATATAATAATACAGTTGTAATATTGTACGAACGTTGTTAATACTGGAGAGTTAATAACCGCCCAATAAAAGATGAGGGCTTGAAATATTTTATTAGCGTGGGACAACTCTGAGAGAACGTGATCATTAAAAATATAATTTATGTTATTATAAATATTGAATAAAACGTCATGAGGGGGTCTACCCCCTACCCGTTTGACCGACGCTGACTACCCTTATAATGCAAACTAATACATGGCTCGTTGTATAGGCTTGTTGTAAATCTTTTGGTGCTAAGCTCGGCGCAGTCCAAAAATATGTAAAAATAAAAATCTGGGACACAATCAGCGTAAATAAAAGAACGAAATTCGGAAGATTAGACCGAAAACCTGAACGCAGCCAAAATTGTAATCGTTTGTGACCAGTTCGACGGCGACAGCTTGGATTTAAGGGCAGTCCATCGAAATCATTGCATAATTTAAGGAACATTATTGTCAGTCATCGATCTGAGCCAGGCATGTCGAACTCAGAGAATTAATTTTTGCCAAACGTATATTGAAAAGTAATAGTATAAAAGTGTGTCGACAAAAAAAAACACTACTTATACCTACCTACAAATTACAATACGCGTTATTCGATTAAAGTTTATCAGAAGATTAGTCAGACGAGTAACCTAACCTATCACTAATAATATAGTTGTGACACAAAATGTAATTCCTTTATTTTTGTTTTTTATCAATTTTTCTTTCTACAATGAATTGTCCAATTAAAATTGTCTCGACTATACATTTTTGTATCTATGTTCCAAGGTACACAATATCTCTAGCTATACGTCATATAGTTTTGTTATGCGATTTGCGCATTGTGCTTTACAATGTCATAGACTGTTAACATTAAGTTTGATTGGAAAATGTAACCGACTAAAAACGATTAAACGTGTAGCTTTTCCGAGTAAAAAAAAAAAAAAAAACAGAAAAGTGACTTTAAGCTATTAACTTAACGAATTAACAAAAAAAAAAAAAAAAAATACGTGACTATCTCAGACTCGTCGCAATTATTTATTCAAATATTACATCGTCAAATATAACATTTTGATCGATACGATGCCAACTGAGTTTTGCTTATTATTTTTTGGAGTGTACCTACGTAGGGAAGCGTCTATACAAGACTTTGTTTTAGTTTTATGAAAATCGTAGTGCGACGACTTAACGTCTTTGCGTGCGTTTCCATGGACAATTATTTAATTCTTGCAATAACCGTACCCAAACGCATTATATAGTTTCCAATCTCTCGACAGTAACACTATACCTGCCGATAAGCCAATTAGACGTTTAAAGAGACGTGGGTTCACTGATGCCTTAAAAACAATTAACTATGTAGATATTCATAAATCGACTCGGAATAACTATCAACGACTGTCAGTTGGGTTCTAACTGCATTTTTACCGTCGAATGCGACCTAACTTCTGTTATTTTGTCTGCAGTGGTCGAGATGGCTCAATATAAGTGGAGGGATGCCTTACAATTCAGATTTCCTGACCCGGCCTATACGAAAAATAAAAGGTTTTCTTATACATGGGAATAAATATAAAAATCATAATAATTATTTCATTTTAAAACACAAGTCTTGGGAGGAATGCGTTATTCTAGACAAAATAAGTAGAGGGATGAAAAATGTAAATACAAAAAAGTAGAGGGATGTCATCCCTCCGTATCCCCCCCCCACTTCGACCACTGTTTGTCTGCCAACCACCCTCGGGTATGTTATGCGTCACTATCAGAGTATACATTTTCGTTTGAGCGTTTGCACCTTTACGGCGTATAATTTATGAATCGCGTATGATTAAAAACGATTGAAGTGTAGCTTTTACGAGTAAAAAAAAAAAGTAACATTGAACTTTGAACTATAGGTCTTTACATTTTTTTTTAAATTTAATATTAACTTAACGAGTTAAAAAAAAATAAACAGGTAATTTGCCTCAGCCTCGTCACAATTACTTATTCAAACACATAAAACTAAAAGCAAAATAATTAACATTTTGACGAATAAAATACCGACTCAGATTTAGCTTATTGTTTTCTCGAGTGTTCAAGCGTCTATATATATATATAATATAATATATATACTCGTATATAATTTTATATTAATTTTGGATAAATTGTATACGGCGCATAATATAATTATTATATGTTCTGAGAAAATGTCGTAATATTTGGGAGTGTAATATGCTTTTAAAATGATAATTCCTTTCAAATGCAATTTTAAACAGTACAAATATTTGAGTTTTATCCGTTTCAATATTATAAACGTGACTCGAATATTTGTATTAGTTTATTTTCGAATGATACAAAAACGATTACGGAGAGTATGAATAAAATACAAAGATATTGTATACTTAGGAGGACTGTCTCTACCGAACTTATAGATGAAAATCGAAAAAAGATAAAGTGGTAGGTATTTCGTGTAAATAATAATATATGGAGAATATAATATGCCATTTTAAATTATTTTTGTTGATATACCCTTATATTGTATTACATACATAACGGCGGATATAATATGTTACAGACTTACTAAATTTCATATTTATTAAAAAAAAAAAAAAAAAATACAACATAGGGACAGACAAATGGAGTAAATTAATATATTCTTAAAATAATCAAGTTTCGATTAGTTTGCTTACAAAACATCTGATTGCCAATTCACATATATAGCTCATTAATAACTGCTGGTAAATGACCCTCCACACACCAGTGGCAGAACATTTGTGAGCAAACCAATTAAAACTTGATTGTTTTAAGAATACCCATTGTACATTCTAGTTCGACCCGCCCCCGTTCGTGAAGTACTTCCACTGGGAGGATTCTTCGCACTGTTTTCCGCGTCGTCCATTTTAAATTATTACAATCAAAAGTGCGCATAATGTCGTTCAACATTTTGACAGACGGCCCGACGGAAAATGTCGATGCTAACAACCCACCCCCCTCGTGTTCTTTTTAAAACAAACGCGGATTTGGATCCGAATGCCGACGACGTCTGATGAAGACTTTTGACAACCGCCCTTATTTGAACACCACGGCTAGTTCATGTTTTTTACATCGTTCGCGTCCACTTTTTTTCCCGGCCTCAAAAAATATTTATCTTTCACCCCCGCCCACCCCGACAATTGTTATTTTCGAACGAATCCAATACAATATTGGACGTGTAGCGGTATAATAATAATAATAATAATAATAATAATAATGTGAAGTTTGAGAACACTCACCGATCGATGGTCTGAATATCACTACCGGTATGTTGTTCCGTTCTTCGTTAATTATTTGCTCGGCGAGTAATTTCGTCAGCGTGTACGTGTTTGGAAACGATCCTAAAAACCTTCAACGGAACAACACAAACACGATTAATGCGATGATAATTTACCGGCGTTTCGGTAATAATACATTATATAATATTATAATTCATGTTATGCGTGGACGACACGACGATGCGTTATGTCACCGTTATAGTTTAAATGATCGTAGGTAGAAACATTAATGTACAATATGATATTATTATATTATGTACGGGTAGGTAGTATAGGTAGGTACCTACCCCTAGTCCGGTATAACGATATTGTTATAATAATAATAATAATAATACGTCCATCGACTACTTCAGTCGGTGGGTGATTCACAACGGTTTTCCCGTGGTGTGCTCGAGACGTTTTACGAGTATTTTTAATTTACGAGGGAGGGGGGGGGGATGATCGAATTGCACTTTATACCTTAATATTATAAAGCTCGCGGGTTGCATTGCACTTGAGTTGAGGGCATTTAAAATCCCATCGAACAGTGTATGAAAATTAAAATACATGATATGCGGTTAGGCACAAACAAATGATGTTTTCTATGACAACGGCCACATTTCGAGCGGGAAGGGAAATCAATCGGTGTTCTCGGGACGTTTAAGTCGAGTTCATTTTCCCGAAATTTTTGTCGAAACATCTTTCTTGGCGCAGTTCGCCCAATATCTTCTTCAGTCCTGCGAGTGCGATTCGACGAAAAATATTGTGCAGTCGATCTTGCTCGAATTTTTGTTCTAATACGGGAGGAACTATTCGGGAGGTTATAATAATTATACTTGTAATTCCCGCCACGACAGAAAACGAAATAGAATATTATGTAATCTGCGCCACACTTTTAACTTCAACTGTTGGAATTTACTATTGTTTTTGATAGAAATATACCTAACTGATTTTTATGTGATAAACAAAATTTTTCTTATTTAATATACATTTATTTTACTTTATTTACATTTTAATAACTTTCTAGAAATGTAACCATCTAAACGAACTTGATTTATTAATAATTAAAAATGATTTATGATTTAAGATTAATGATTGTATGTTAATCTGTTTTGGAATTGAGGATAATTGCCTAGTTATTTTAAAGCGGAGTCAATTACAATTTTTGTAGGTACACGATGGTGCAGAAATAACGTCCTTTTATATAGTTTTATGTTGTACATAAAAAATACTCGAAAAAAAATGTCTAATAAATTAATAATATTATTATATGGGTGATGCAGAATTGAATTCCCTGATCAAATGAAGTGTACGAATTTTTCCCCACACATACAAATCAATAATCTATGATGATATTTTATTAGGTCTTGAGATGTCTGGAAAAGTTTGTAAACAGAATATAATTTCTCCAATAAATTGCAGAAAAAGAAAAGTTTATTGGTGGAAATATAAAAAAAATCAAATGACTGACAAATTTTGAACTAATAATTCGTTAAAAATATATGTTGTAATTGCACACGTAGGTACATCATTTTAAAAAAAATATAATTTATTGTAATCAACCAACCTGTGATATCATATTATTGATATTATTATCAAGCCATAAACTAGTCAAAAAGTTAATTTAACTTTTTAACTTTAATTTTTTGATTCAATTTTCATTAACTTAATTTCTAACCAAACTGGTTTTTTTAAATTTAAGCTTAATAAATAACTAGTTACTTTTATAATAAAATCCAAGTTACGTAAATTTATAAATAACAAACATAATTTAATTATTATTGACGATGTATATTGCATACATAAACATTTACTTTTTATTATTTTAAGATATATTACTTTCTATTTATGTATTGGCTACAAATCATTATAATAATTACTTAAATAACTCGAGTTAATAAATGAATTGTAAGTTTCCATATAGCTATTGATTTAAATTAGTTTTAGAAAAAAACAAACTAGGACAACTATTAACTTTAAACTTTTAAAAATATTTTCCATCAAATTAACTAAGCTCAATATTAAAAAATACCATAAATTTGCTCAGGCTTGATTATTATTTTCACTGACATAATATACATATTATGAGTCGCATATAATTTATATAGGCTGATTATGGTAATACTTTAAACCATACTTGGATGGCTAGATGGCTAGGTATTCTAAACTGTCCTAAGTGTGTATAAACTGTGTAGGCAATATTGTTTTTGGGGTTGAATTTAATATAATTATAATAATAATTTGAAAAGTTATTTTAACATGATGATTGTGTTATCATTATGAAAGCTCTAATTTGTGTGTCACCTGTTGACAACCGGGAACCGATTCCGTAGTTGGGAACCAACTTGTAGTCATCCAACAATAGTATTAATAGTGAAATAATATAATAATAATAACATGTGTATCGATTACTTCAGTAATTCACAACAGTTTCCACAATATGTCGTGCTCGAGAAGTTATCGACATTGTGATATATGATTATATGGTGATGATCGAATTGTACTTTTTACCTAAACTTAAGTAAACAAGTGTCGAATTGCACTTGTGTTAAAAAAATGGTAACTGCCTAACATTTTCGAAAAATAAACTCTTAAGCTTAAACGTAGTTTTGAAAACCATCGTTGCCGTTCCCACTTGCAGGCCTGCAGACAGTGGTTTTAATCATTGGCGTGCTTCAAAATGAGTTGTTTTTTTTATCTTTGTATATATTTTAAAAATCTCTTGTCACCATGTTCGACCACGCTAATCTCTGAAACTTCAAACCGACACTTTGACGACATTTTGTAAATTTCCAGCTTCAGGTATTGTAGAATAGTCATAGTTATCTAGATAGGTTAAATTTATTATTTCAAAATTTAATGAAAACATTTTGAGATTTACGATGGTAATTTTTGTTTATAAACGGTTGCTATTGGTCTCAGCTTATGTATCATAATAGTAACAAAATTCAAAAAACCTATTCTATACATATCATTTTTAGACAAGTCTTGATGGTAAAAACGTTTATTTACGTTTTGTCAAGTAGTTTAATCTTTATGGATTTTTAAAACGTCAATAGTTTTTCGGATTAAATTTATTTTAAACGTAGGTAATAACTTTTTTCAAAATAATCTTTTTGCGAATTTACTGACATAAGTATATTTTCTCAAATTGTTCATTAAACATACAATTTTCATAATGAACTAGTATCAATTTTTTTTTTTTGTCATGTCTACCTGTTACACCTTGTATACTTAATACTGTTAAATGTACCTAAATTATTGGTTTTGTACATCGATATTGTAAATAATGTTAAATGCAAATAAATATTGACATTTTGAATATACCTAGACCAGGAGTCGGGAACCTTTTCGCAAGAAGGAGAAATTTTTCGAAAAATTACATAACCACGATGTCCTGGGAGCCGTGCAGGTTTGAACAACCTTTTTTTTAGTTTCAGTTGTTAGGATAGAGTACATCGTGATTTTTTTCTTTTAACAATGCTAAATGTTCTTTTATAATACGAATTATTTCATTGTTATTTTTAACTGAAATAAACATGCAGTCTACTTTTTTTTTTTGAATAACTATAAACCAATAAACTATACAGTACTATACACATCTTATACTTTTGTGTTTTGGAAGTCCATAAAAGTCAAAATGTTAAGACAATGAAACCAAACATTTTTTTTTCTTGCTGGGGGGGAACGCCCATACCAGGGCTACGGAACACCGGTTAAGAACCCCTAGTATTGTAATATATTATAGAACATTAAGATTGAATGTAGTATTATTATTTCATTGAAAAATTGGTAGGCATTAAAAACATAATGATACGTTTTAAATTTAGAAAGTATAGAACAACTTTGTTTCATTAATTCATCATCATTATTATTATTGTTTATACAAATATAATATTATTTAATTAAATACAATTATACACAAAAAAAAAGGTATCTAATTAATATTAGTGGGAATTTTCCGAAGAGCCGCAGGTTCCCGACCCCTGACCTAGACACCTAGTTCTATTTTAAGTCATATTACTGGTACACAATGACCGATTCATAATGTGAGTGGAAAAGGAAGTGCTAGAAATATTGTGTTGAGAATGTTTCTGATTTGTATTAAAATTATTATTATAGAAACTATATCCTCAAGACGTCTGGTTTGACATGGACATGCCAGATGAATATTATAGTCAGTCTGCTAAGTTTACGTCTTACTACTATCATTTCCGCAATCCGTCGCAACGATTACCCCGATATGCATTCTAACAAAATATTCAATTTTTTTACAACCTTTGTACGGGGGATCGACCGAGGGGCGTTCATGTAATTGTATTTAGTTAGTTAGACATTTAAGTTTGAAAAAAAAAATAAATATGTGTTAAACGGTCTGCCGTTGCCTATGAATTATTCACTCGAAAATATAAATTACAATAACATGGCAATGGCGTACAGTATTTTTTGAATAGTATTTAATATAGGTTGGATGTAAGAAACTAAAAACAATGTCATCGATTTTAATTTCAATTTTGTTTTGATAAATAAATAGTACTATAAGATCAGTTAGCTGAAAAAATAAAAAGGTCGTAATGAATAAAGAATTTTTCTTCTCATGTACTTTTTTTTAGGTTTTTTTTGTGTTATTGTGTTTGCGAATGTCGTACCTATCATAATACGAATCTGACAATAATTGTATTTATTTATGGGTTAAAAAAGCTATTTTCTATCAGACTTAAAAATAAATTGCTCTCCTTAACAATATAATATGGATGTATGATATTTCATAATAGAAACTTTTCCGCATTCTCAGCCAGCGAAATATAATTTTTCAAATCGTGTGGAATGAGGAATATTTCAAAAAAATTGTGCACCGAGCCAATTAAGAATTTACGCGCCTTATCGATTAATTGGCATTAAAATTCTTATGAAACTGTATACCTACGTTGTTAATGCTCTTCTCAGTAATCTAGAATATTCACCTCCTAAATCTATTAATGTATTCACTAGGTTTGGTTTAAACATGAGTTGTTTTAATGAAGTTTGTTTGCGAAAAAACTTTTTTTGTAAACGGATAGGGCGTAGCTTAAAATATTATTTTGTTTTTACTTTTTATTTTACGGTAATTATGTAAAATATTAAAACGAGCAATGTATTTTTTGTAAGTAGATACACCATGTGCACCTGCGCCGTTAATAGAATTATAAATTTTCAAAAACAAAAATTGTAATATTAGATTATAATATTATATCGACATAGGTAGGTACTGTTTTTACTTCTTTTTCATGATTTTAATCCACACAACGCAATATTGCGTGACCCACCATGCCTATGATTTGGTTTTTTAATAAAGAAAAAAAAATTGAAAATGAAATTATAATAATATGTATTTGGGTATTTTTTTTTATCGCTAATTTGGTTCTGCCAAAAGGTTTAAATTCTTGCAAACACTTTATATAGTGTTAAATAATACTGAAATAGTGTACAAAATATATCTTTTGTTGCTTCGTGGCTTACTCGGTGGTGTAAGTATCTACCTACGCGTGTGGTTTTTAATATTTTTCATTATTTGTACTTTGTACCATTTCACATTATATTAATAAGATGTATTCTGAGGGTTATTCCACAATTTCGTTTTTTTTTTTTTTTAGCAAAATAGACCTATAGACGTTCCAACGTACTGTCGAGTCTTACTGGGATGGTAATTTTGAAAACACAATTGAATTTGTTATGACATCATAAAACTGTATTTCTTTTTTCTTGAAATTTCTAAAATTAGGAGATTTATTTTTAAATTTCAAGTAGATTATTTCTTTTTAAAAATAATAGCACGGAGACTATAATCGTTTAAACGTTCTTATCTATATATGTGGTTTTCAATATTTATTATTAATTTTCCTCTGTGCCATTTTAATATTATATTAATATACGGTGTATTATACGAGAGAGAATTGAAATTTTTTTTGAGAAAAATTCACCTGAACGTTTTGCAACGTATTGACTTGAGTCTTACTCAGATAGACATTTTGAAAATATATTTTTAATTTATTATACAATTTTAAAACCAAATTTGTGTATTCACCACACCTGTCTTTGAAAGATTTTGAGGGTTTGTTAAATTTTACAATGTACTGATATATTATGTTTAAAACTAATATTTTTTTAATATTTATAGTTGACTTTTTGAATAAAATAACGTCTCAATATTTCTAGAAGGCAGATGCTAATTGCTTTTTACTCTTTTTAGTTCATGGCTTTATACAGGTACCTATAAAGTACATTAGTATGGATAGTTAGGGGCGTCTTTAGAAATTTTCGGCCCGTTGCACTTATAAGATTCCGTCTCCTTTTTTTTAGTGGCAGGGCGAGGGCAAGGGATGGATGGTTCAGTGTTAAAAATAAAAATTATAAATACCTATCGAAAATTATAAAAAAAATTTTATCAAAAAAGCAAAAAGTTGCCAACGGCACGTAGTGTTCCCAAGCGGTCACCCATCCAAGTACTAACTACGCCCGACGTTGCTTAACTTCAGTGATCGGACGAGAACTGGTGTATTCAACGTGGTATGGTCGTTGGCGATGGTCCCATAAAAAATTACAAAATTTAAATTAAACAATAACTTGTATTTTAAATAAAGGAACAAAGTCACTTAAGCTAGATAATATCTACCGCACGTTTTTCAAATTTTTTTTTTCGATTTAACGAAATAAGATCGATGGTTAAAAAAAAGTAACAGAGTTTTGGAATTTATATCCTTCCGAAGTTTGAGATTTTCTGCCTTTTGATTGATTAGGACGATTAAGTTATTTAGTATTTACACATTGATTGCGTGCGCCATCAATCCGCTAAATATTTATTATAATATACTTGATTACATTTAGGGCCAGTTGCACAACACTATATTGGTTCAATAAATAGTTATTGGTCCATTAAGTGTAGTTATTGAATCGACAAAAATTAAAATAGGCTGCACGAAGTTATCTAATCAATAAGTTATCGACCATTAGTCACTTTTGATCAATGAAATGTATGGGGCCGATTTTGGTCCAATAAGTTTTATTGGATCAATAAAGTAAAATGACGAAACCTTTTCACCATAATACCTAATGAGATATTATATATTATCAACAGAGCTTGCGCTAAAGAAATATAAGAGTCGCACAAACTGTTTATTTTACAGAAGTAAAAAAATTTGATGTTCGCTCCGCTCTCACATAATGAATAATGCATACTATTATACATATTAAATAATATTATATTATACGTGATAATATATGAATATTAACAATTAAAATAACAAATTCCTTTAATCAAATTTTAATCAAATTTTATTTTTTATGACAACCTCTTCATCAGTATCACCACTATCACCACAGTTTTAGAACCGTTGTATGCCCGTAGTTTTAATCTTTTGATAATCATAAATAAATAGGTATTTACTATAACAATGTTTTAATCATAATTTCTAATCATTTCAGAAATCAAAATGTCAAATGGTTACAAGCTCATAGACGTAATATAAAATTAATTATTAAAAATTCAAATCATAATATTTTTTATGAACTGCACAACATTTAAATAAGAACTACACGTTTAAATATTTAGAACTGCACATTTTATGCACAACTGCACAATAGCGCAAGCTCTGATTATCAATAATAATGAACCATAATCGTAAATAATCGGACCACTTTGAACCACTATGGTATGAAGTTCAAAATTATAAACAATAATTGCATTTGTGCAACGATTTTTAATATTTATCTATCGATAAAACTTATGGAGCCAATAAGTTATGGGACCAATAAAATGTTGCCTTGGCCATGTGGGTACTAATAGAAATGCAGTAGTTTGCAGACTGCGGTGTGTGCTAGTAACAAAATCACATTGCCGAGGTAGATCATTAGACGAGCATAATATAACTCATAATATAATCAGGGGATCGGGGGGGGGGGGGAGGAGCGAGGACTCATCCCTACCTCTGACGGTGGTTGAAGAGCGTCCCCTTTGACAAATCAGGATATTATACCATTAGACATATTTAACACAAAATGATTTATGGAATGCTTTAAACTATATATGGAGACTTCGGTAACCTCTGGAATTTTTCCCCGCTTTAAACCCTGAATATAATACATGCCATGATATTTGTATATGTGTAATCGTGTTCGATTTTGACGATTATTTTAGATAAAACGTTTGATAGGCAGATTCACTTGTATAACACTGGCGTCCAACACTATTTAAACAATTTAATCGAATTATAACTCTATACAATATTAAGAGGACGCCACACCCGCATGTGCAGTTGTCTCCGTTTTACAAACGCGTAACATACCAAATTTACGCTCAGCAGTTCACGTTTTGTGCCGTTAGCTTGAAAATTAGAGTTAAAAATCGACCTATTATGAAACTTGACGGTATGAACTTTATCTGTGTTTCGTTGGAAGTTTTTCAACGATACTTCAGTTTTTAAGCGAGGTATGCTTGTATATAGAATAAAATATGTAAATTAAAAACTATCATAACTCACTTAAAAACTGAATTATTGTAAAATACTTCCAACAAAACACGGATAAAGTTCTTATCATCAAGTTTCATAATAGGTTGATTCACTCTAATTTTTAAGCTAACGGCATAAAACTTGAAATGCCGAGCTTAAATTCGGTATGTTACTCGTCTGTAAGACGGAGACAACACATGCGGGTGTGGCGTCCTCTTAACCTATGTGGGTAACGATTTTTATTTCCAATTTTTTAAAAAAAAACCATTCACCAAGTATTTGAATTGTATTATTTGAATTTATTACTATATGCATTGTAATTGTGTTCAATTTTCTGTTGTGCACGACATTGTTTCGAATTGTTTTCATTTGGATGAAAATAAATAAATACGATTTATCGGTTACTGTTTAATATAATGCGGAATCACCATAAATAAATATCCGGCGGAATCGATATAAAAACCTAGGAATCGATAACCCCCCCGCCCCCTACTTAAACCATAATATACACGTGAAAATCACGAAGTAGCGGGACAGTACTACTACTGAAGTACCCAAATTACTTCAAATGTATTCGAGTATCTAAAGTAGTTTTTGAGCGCTCGTTTGAAAGTAATTTTTCTCTTCACCACCGAAAATGTCAACTGTCCGACAACGTGAATACTGGTGCGCTCTTGACAAAATAACTTTTTTGGGTACCTAAATAAACGCAAAGTCAGGTAACTTAAATTCCTCCTTTGCGGGGATTCTGCTTTTTCTTCAGCAGAAGTAACGGGGCCGAGTCGTGCACTGGTAGCTGGTATTATAACGGTATTGTAGGTATAATGGTTTATGTTGCACATGGGCTCTTACTTTTTGGTTAGAATACTGCTCATAGTCGGATCCAGATTTTCAGCGATCGAGATTGCTTCTCGCCAACCGACTGGCGATTCGTAGACTTTTTCTTCGACATGTTCTCTGGTACAATTACAATACGCAGTCGACACGTGCAACAATACCTGTAACATATTATTGTTTTATCGTATCAGACCACGGCGACGCGACAAGAACAATATTTTTTGGGGTTGCGCGAATTTTGAAAAGTTCACAGGCCCGACACCACCCTTTTCGCACTCCTCACACGATCACAGACAATTATTTTAACGTCACTTTGCTCGACAGTAAATGTACCTACTGTATGTTTACGATCTGTTTGATTTTTTATAAATTATTTTAAATTAATTTATATTTTGATACTATAATGCGCATCTATTGATGAATTGGCGAATCTTTGCTGTATCATACTCGTTTGTACATGCGAATAGCTATGGCCAATGTACAAAGTGTAACAGAAAGACCCGACTAATTAAATAACTTTTGTTCCGAACAGTGTTTTTATATATTTTTTTTTTATATTTTATTTACAGACGCTTCGATAAACGGATAGTATAAAAATTTTTTGTTTTAATATTAAAAATAAAAAAATTAAATTTGATATAGTCCTCCTGTAGGTACCCCTTCCTTCGTTCTTAACCAAACAGTGAGTCAGATGTTAGTGAATGTTATATGCGCGTAATACCTACTAATATTTTTACTCTTTTTTTTAAAATATTTGTTGAGGTATCAATAACCGTGAGTCAACTTTTGTTTAGAGGTATTAAATACGAGTCATAGAATAGCAGTGCAACTCAATTTTTTACAATGTTTGGTTTAAGTTTATCATGCGGGAAAAACATGTTTTTAGATCGCTCGGTGATTGTCGTATATAGCTACTAAGACTTGAACGTGATTCCATGTGTTTCACAATCAGTGGGTTGATTTGGTCATTTTCGTGAAGGAGGGGGTGTGGATGAATTGTTTGTACATTTTACCTATTACCCCTTGGCCACCAAAAAATGTTCATATGTATCATGGTTCATATAAGCACCTCTCAGTACAACTCTTGTATAGTATTAAAGTATTTACACGTAAAATATACGAATGAGCACATGAACAGAAATAAATGTGCTATTTTTAAATATTTACACAAAATGTATATAGTCGTATACAATATACATACATAAGAAACGTCGTCCCAGCACCCGGGGTCCATTACTTTTAACAAATTTCAACCCTGACTTATTTTGTGTATTTTATTTCGTACAACTTTTTACGACCCTGAAAAACCTTTAGAATTCAATTTCACGACACAGGTGCTGCGGTAACGTTACCCGCGAACCCGAAATTGAATTTTCAGGATTTTACAGGGCTGTACCTACTAGATTGTGCGAAATAGTAAGTACACAATGCCGCAGGGTCGCAATGTATGTGATTTCAAATTTACGGGCGCCATGGTAACGCATCTAGTTGAACATCATACGACTTTGCCGGTAGACTACTAAACAGCCCGAGGTGTAAAAATTCCAAAGCTTAAAAAGTCAACGGTAAAAATGTCCGAGGTATAAAAAGTCTGGTACACATAATTAGGTAAAAGGAAAAATACGACGTGATGGTCAAATCAGGTTTCAGTGATGAGTATTAGTATTTTCCAATATTACAGCAGTATACTTAAATTTCAATTAAACGATATATTATATTCTGATAAAATCAACAGATAGTCTGGTGGGTAGGTACCAATATCGATAATATCGAACTTTAGAATTCCAAATAGATTATTACTTTAGTACATAGGTACCTATTTATGTTGTTTTTGTAAAAAGAATGAATTCGATTTTTCTATGAAATGCGTGACCTAGAAATTCAAATAACTGAATTTTTTTTAATGTTGTTATACAATAGCATACATTACATGGGTAGCTTAAAATTGTAGCTGAAATTGGAACGTTAAAATTGAAAATTTCGATCTCAACACCTGATTTGAGTTTAGAAATTTGAGCTGAGCGATAAATGTATAGATTTTACGATGATGACGTTTTTATAAAAAAAATAGACTTTTAGTCTATTTCAACTTAATGTTTTGATTTTAAAAATTGGTTTTAGTTTGTGATTGAGAATCGGGACGGTTAGTGCTTTTGACGAGAGGTAAAAACGAAAAATGTCCAGTACTTTTCATAAGACGAAGAAAATCAATGGACCACCGGAACAACATCGGTTTTCGACCAAATCTCGTTTCTTTCGGCGCACTATTATCAAACAGTTAATCGATTTTTTCGAAACGCATTTGCAGAACACACGGAGATCGCTACGATTTCAAATGAATAATAATGTGACTTCGGGCAGGCAAATGCATACACAGCGGCAGACTCACTTCTAAATGTTTCATTTGCTTAGCCAATTGCACGACTTCGCGCGTTCCCCTCACGTTCATGATAGTCGCATCTCGTATCGGCTCATCGAAACGGACACTGGCGGCCACGTGGAAGACGACCGAAACGTTTTCCACCAAAAACCCGTAATCCTCGTCCGACAACCCGAGTCGCAGTTCGGTCATGTCGCCCAACACGGGAAACAGTTTTTCCTCCATGAGACCGGGACTTCGTTCCTTGATCGTGTCGAATAACTGCGAATGACAGAGTGATGATCGTTTACACACAATATTAGTATCGCTAATAACTAGGGTACACAAAATATTAATTATTTTTTATTTTTATTCGAATTAAGTCTCGGCAACTACGGCCATCGGCAACAAAGAGTTTAACTCTAAATTATTAACTTAGTTACATTATATTATTAAATATTAGGTTGGACTTGGTAATAAAGATTGTTGCCTGGTCCGTTTCGTATGAAAGGCATTCAGTTAAGATGTGTTTGATTGAGAGTGATGTAGCTGGCACAAAATATTATTATATGGGCGTTGTGCAGTCGATTTATCGCAAACGACTGACCGCGAATGATTTATCGCAAGCCCGCGATCGATCGGATTACGGTTTACCTCGCCACAATTGATCGTAAATAAAACCGTTTAAGTTACTTAAAGGTATAAGGTTGTGTTGAATTTTTAGGTTTTTATTTTAAGTTTTAAATTCAGTGATTATTATTATTATTTTTTTTTCATGTCCAAGCATTGGGCCTACAGACAACTCATCGAAATGATCCTCAGTTTTCATCACGAATTCCGATGCTACCAACATTAGCTTTTGTACTCCAGAAGCAGATGTAATACAATGCTAAGCTGAATAAAAAACAAGTACCAATTATAACAATTACACAAATATTGAAGATTTTCTTCGTGGTACTGCATGCAAATTTCAATTGAAAGTTTAGTTTTTTCATTATTACGCACCTAACTTATTGCATTTTTTAATTATTTTTTTTTTATATCTTACTCAATTTAATGTAGGGATATTATCTATTCATGTGAAAAAATATTGCACATCACTTCTTATTGTAAGTTTAATTTGTTTATTTTTTATGTGGGTGCCTACCGACATTTTTTGAACATTTATGAAAGACGAAAAAATATATAATTTTCAACCATACCTGTAATCAGAGAGGTGCAAAATGTTATCTAGATAATTATTCAAAAAAAATGTGCATTTAAATTAAAAACTACTATCGAAAATGTTGTTTTACGATGCACTGCCGTATGGTAAATTATAATTGCGATTAATTGACGTGTATAAACATATAGGTATATAGGTAGGTGTTATTACATTATTATCGTCGCTACATTTAAACAATGATATATTGTTCTACTAAATATTACTCACACGTCATCGTGACCAATCGACCCCATGAGAGTAAAATGTATTCGAAAAAAAGCTCCGAAATCAAACCCGTGGAAAATAGAGGCCCGGGAAAAATTATCTTTAATTAGATAAATATAATTTGGAATCTCGCGTGCTTAATATATTATATACTTATGTAGTGTGTCCTATTTCAATCTTGTTATATATCCATATCGAATCGTACAGTTTTTTCTACAGTTATTTGTAAGTCAATTCTAACTAATAAATTAATCAAAAAAAAAAAAGTTATATCGAACTTATTTAAAGCACGATAATGAGATCGTAGTCATTGAATGTTTAGTGTTTGTTGGAAAAGGGCTTTTTTTCGTAGATTCGAGAAGAAGAATGTATTTCTGGGTGGCAACAACTTTTTTTTAAAAATAATTCTCTAAAAATAACGATCGTAGAGTATCGCTCATTAATAAAATATTTTGTACGTTGTTTATTAAATAAATTAAAACAATATGACGATGCGATGTGATACAAAAATAATGAATAACTAATAAGGTATAATGCAACTATATTCCGTGGACATTTTTCGCATTAAACGATAGTTAATAAATTACTGTTTTTTTTTTTTTATTTATACTTTAACAATATTGCAGTATAATGTTTTCTTATCGCTACATTAACTATGGCAATCTGGTTGGATGTGACCGATTTATCTAAATAGCTTATTTTCGTTTTAAATTTTATAAAATTAAAAACGGCTGTTTTTAAATTAAGAATTTTTTTAGAATTAGTATGCGTATAATATTTTATTATTATTATTTATTACGATAAAATTAATATTACGTAAAACAAATTGGAATACCTACAGCCAGTGCATTTTAAGGAATTTTCACTGGGCGACAAAAAATATGTTCTTAAAATAAATATTAAATTATAGCACGATGGAATTATTTTATGTTCGCCCCTCATAATTACTTAAATTATTTATTTTTAATAAATGCTAAAAGTAGAAATACATTTTAAATGTTAATAAAAATGAGTTGTAATTTATTTAAAATATAAAAGGTGATTTCAAGAAAGATGTAATATTTATTCATTTTTTAACATTGGTAGTATACAAAAATGTCTCTTTTAAAAATCTTGTGTCACCCAGACGCCCAGTCTTTAAAAATACAGTCAATTTCAGGCGATAAAATATTTTCAATTGGCGTTAGTCACGACGCTTAGGCCAGTAATATTTTTTAGTCGCTTGTATAGTGAGACATTAAAGTACTAGTGAACAGTAAAATAATAATTATGTAAAGCGTCAATTTTATACACATAATAATAATAAAGAAAATATGCATTTAAATATTGTATGAAAACTAAAACATACTTGAGCGTCCAAAATTTCATTGATCCTAGAAGCTTTGTCTTTTCCTTTTTTGTGTCTCACCAAAAGACAGATTTTACCGATACCTGGACAGGACCGAACTAGTTTTTCGATTAAAACTTTGCCCATAAATCCGGTCGCACCGGTTACCAGGACATTACGCCCTCGGAAGAAGTCCTGTATGCTCATTATGTCCTGAAAAATTTTAATAATCGTTACCACAAGACGCGTGTAATACAGTTTTTCTAGTGAAAAAATATTGCGTACGCGCAGAGTGTAAGCGATCTCTCTCGATATCAAGGGGAGTAATTATATAATATGGTTCGTAAATAATATTTTGAGAATTTCCTAACCTGCACATGCGTATATTCTAATGGATTGTTAATCGTTGCCGTACATGCAGTTCTCATTTAAAGTTGTAGATCAAACGGGTGGCAATAACTGCACATAATTATTACAACAAAATTAATGTATACGCGTGTGACAACAAAACTATTGTTTCATTTATAGTTTAATAAAAGTCCAATGTACATGGCACGACAGGCGTCTAAAAGTGAATAGTAATATTGTTGTCAGTACAGTGTGATAAACGTATAATATTAAATTGACCAAACGAATAATATTGAGCAAATTAACGTTGAAAACTGTTTATACCTACCACAACTGTATATGGGTACTAACTAAATATCATATGCAAAGGCGTTGATTTCACTCTTTTCACTAGACTACACTGTTAAAAAGTTCATTTTTAACCAGACTTATAGTTCACTTTTTAATAAATTCAACTCGTTAGTTGATATTCCAATGAACGTATAAGCATAGCAACTATGTAGTTATTCGATTATTGACTGTTGCAATAACCTAACTTTCGATTTAAAAACAATCTATCGAGTAAAAACTAAAAATAAGGTTTTTGTTCGATACAAATCACTGTATGCACGGTTTTGAATAAAAAGAGGGTGTAAGTGGATGTCAATCTGCTGTACAACAGTAGGTTACAATAGTGGGCCATCGATGTAATTTATGGTGTTAAATTTTACTTCAATTTTATAAAATCATTTTATACGAAAAACGATTCTGGGCGAAGGCGGTCGGTCTTTAATATTACTCAGTAATTTGGTACGTTTGACGATATTGTTGTGATAAAAGTAATTAATTTTACTAGTGAGAAGCATTAGTATACTGCGCAGTAGATTAAATTCATTTTTGCCAAACAAAGTACATTTGAAAAGTCATTGCGCGTACAAAATGTAATAATATACTTAAAGAAATTCAAGAGCCCACTCAAAATATTTTTAATTTACAACGAAATAACACAAATCATTATTATTGGTTTTTAATGATTACTTTCGTGTAATTTATTTATTTATTTTAAAACAGATAATTATCGAAGATTTCATATGCATATAAATAGTTTAACGCCAGTAAAAATGTTTTGAAAATTGTATGGCACATAGATAACGCGGACATAGACAATCAGTGAAAATCGTATATATCTAAGACATTTTTTTTTTTTTAGAGCGAATACATTAAAAACCAAAATCGATTTTGCTGAAAACCGGGTTTCCGTGAAAATTCCCGTTTTCCCCTAACTTTTTGTTTGTTTTTCCTGCTGCTTTTGAAAACTATTGGGGATTTTTACTTTTAACCCCATTCGTTCCAACTACATTCACTTTCCTACCAAAAAAAGTTGCTGTTGAAGAAAATCGAAGCAGCACAAAAAAACACATCATTTTGAAATCATTGTAAATCAATACATTTATCGCTCGGCTCTCAATTTAAAATAATTATGTAACACTTAAATTTCAATTGTGTTTTTTGATAAAATAATATGATGTATATTATATATCAATATATGCATAGAAAGGCCAAACACAGGTACTCTTTTTGTGGTCTTGGCCTACAACGGTAAAAAAGCAGATTAACTTTTTTTAAACCGAGTTTTGTTAATATTTTACCACACATTAATTTTAATTTTTAATTTGTTGTCTGTCAACTACCTATGCTTTGGACCTTTGACAATTTCGTGTTCACGACTGGACTTGAGTAAATTATTTCCATTAACGTATCTACAGGTTCATATTTGTATCGAATGCATCATCTGAATATTCTACTTAAAAACTCTTCTCGACAATTATCACATTCATACAGTTTTGTTATAATCGTCTATAAGACGTCATCTACGTATCCATATCTCAAACCTGTAAGTCTGAACCTATTATATACCATACTAAGTACGTATAGTGCATAATAAATAAAGCCCGGATTTAAATTTCACAGAAAACTGTAAAAAAAAGAAAATGCTCTAAAAAATAATTAAAAATGCCAAAAAAACATCTTCTCCGCGCAAAATAATATTACCTCGGAAAATTACAAACTTTTTTTTTTATAGGCACTCAACTATATTCGACTCATTCGATTTTTGTCCATTTTTACCCTTTATCGGAGCTAAACTCACAGCAATACAAAAACTAAACACCAAACTTAGGCGTGCACAATAAATATAAACAGTATCTGATTGACATTTGGTACGGATGGAAAACACTTGAAATCTATTCAAGCAAATATTATCATGAAAACAATACTTTTTGATAAATCATTTTGAATTTCCAGATTTCAAAAATCTCGTACAATATTTTATTAAATGCACTAAGACTTAATAGACTGACGGGGGAAAAAAAAACAATAATGCTCTAAAGATGAAATGAAAAAACGAAAAATAAAATTTCACTTTTAAAAGACCTATCTGCGACCGCGTTACACGAAACAAATTATGCACTCGGAATGCATTGCAGTTCTAGAGCAGCCCAAAAAAATAATACTGCACTTTGCGTTGGAATCGAGCCGACACGCAGACTTCGAAATAGTCGCTGGTGTTGTGCAATTATTTTCGCTGTACTTTCAAGCTACCGGCTCGGAAGACCGACAATACACCTATACCATTTCGTGTCGGAAAATATCCGCACAAAAGTACCTACGAAACCACGCATATTATAATAATGGTTACGCGCGTCTTAAAAAATAACTTTCTGTCGACATCAACTGCGAACATAATGACGGCAGTCCATAACAATACTGTCGACGAGCTGCTTACCTTTTGCGCGGCGAACCACAAACACCGTGGGTATGATGCGATGAAAACGAACGAACGCGTCGCACGAATAGTGGCGATCTGTCGACGAATTATTGTCGACCGGTACTCGAACGGACAAGACGTTACCTACCGTCCGGTCGCAGTGTAAAAATGGTTATGCGGCTCCTGCGACGTTCGACGCGACGGAATAATATTATTATTTTATACATTACTATACGACAACGATCTATTGTGTTAAACACGCGCAAGGTTTCCTTAATTAAAATGCAAGACACCGAATGTTTCTCCTAATGCGAATCGCGCGGACACGACGTCTACATTTTGTAATGGGTATACAATATACATATATTATATATATATAGTTACCATATTTTATTTCACCTCTCGCCGCCGACGCCGCCGTGTGCGCATATCGCCAGCAAATATACCTCGACGGAAATAAAAAATAATATAATATTTGATCGGTCGTTTCGAGGTTATTGTGAATAATTAGTGAGCGTTAACTGCCTGCGATGGCCGCCGCCCGAACCGTGTTCGGTATTTCGTATAATATATAAAACAACAATAATAATACTTGTTGACGTCTGTAATTCGATAATATTCAGTCCGAAGGAAATCGCGTGGTTCGCTTTTGAAATGACATATTATTATTATTATTATTATGGTCGTGATTATGTCGTGTGGCATAAAATTCCGAACAACAAAACGCCGACGGGAACGATCCGATTCGTTACCGGCCGTCGACGACGATATAGTATTATCGTTGTTATTCTGTCATAATATTATTATATTAATATTTCCGATGGCCAACAGGTGCGATAATGATGGCGCAGGCAGAGTCACTTTTTCCGCAATGATTATCGCCGACGTGAAAAATACTTTGAAAATTGTATTTATAAATACTGCAGACGCGAGTACGTCGGTTCGGGAAAGCATTAAAAAAATACATTTGAAATACCTACTTTTTTTATGAAACACTATTCGAGGACAGAACGCAAATATTATACCTACTTCTGGAAACTGGGTATTTGTTTGATTTTACTTGTTTCGTTGTGCAAGTGGGCAAGAAAATCAAATTTGTAATTTAGTATAATATAATGTTACACTATTGTGATTTACGATCGCTAAAACGGCATACGCCGAGTACACGAGTGCGACTAGGGGTGGGGGGGTGGAGCTAAGCCCCCCGAAAGCGACTCTTCATCGACGTCATATTATAATAACAATTCAAAATGAATAAATAACAGTTCAGCATTCGGCATATTTCTCAATAAAATGTCGAACGTGACCCGCACCTGTGCAGAGCCAATGCCAACGATGTCATTGCGCAATAGGCATTAATTCAGAAAAGACATTTCGTAATTTTTACTTGTTCAATAATGTGTTCTGTGTACGTATTGATATTTTGCAGTCGAGTTTTTTATTCGACCATCGTGACCATAACTCTATAAAAAATGACATGTGTTTCTGCAGTCTTGGTCAACGCATATATTATGTGCCTATAACATTATCTACCTTTTTAAAAACTCAGTAAACACGCCGTAGGTACACCTGACTACATTTTTTAAGTAAAAATTGAAGAAAGTCGTGATGAATACAACGGAATTGCACATTCGTACAATAAAATAAAACCGGAGTAAATATATAACTATATTACGTTATTTACTATGGTTTATAACGAAAATAGGTGGGCGGGGGAGAGGCTTCGTTGGATTACTTTGGGAAATGGGTTACTACGAAAACGTAATGGGAGGCTAACCTAACCGAAAAAAAGTTTGCGAAAGTGTGTTGAAAATGTGAAAAATCAACACGCGCTCACACCGGAAGCCATCGTCTCGATCTCAGACTGAGATGCGTCCAAAACTTAAGTTAAGACCCGTCAAGTGTAGTAGGTTACCATACTATAGGTAATTGTGTTTACCTGTCCCCGATCTATTATCCGTCTTTACTACCTACCTGTTGTTACTGTTTTGTTCTCCGACATAGTTGTGCATTATAAACCGTATCAGTTGTTAGTGTTGATATGTATTGGCTTATGGCGCGGTCGATAAATAATGGAAGCCCGAATGGTCATCACAGTGATATTAATTAATGTTTCGACGAGTTAAGACGATTTTTGAAAGTTGAAAGTTGGAAATAGGTAGCTTTCGTCATGCTCATACCAGTATAATATATACCTATTATCTCAAGACAGTGAAAACTCTCTGTAACGAATCTGAAGGGACCAAGAGATTTCTTTTGTTGTAGAGGGTTTTCGTGATGTAGACGGTTTAAAAAAAATACAATTTTAATTACTTGAAGGTAACCTATCGCCTAATGCGCCTACCTATAATTCTGTTATTAATTTTCATACACGATATTATTTTTTATATTACATGAGAACTGAGAAGTCTGCAGTTACATGTTCATTATTTTATTATAGTTAAATAATAATCGTTATATAAAATTATTAAACTTATCATATTTTATACAATTACTTAAAATAGTCTGTCATCTATGTTTGAACTTGTAAACTGCCAATATTTATTTTATGTTTTTCTATGAATTTGTTCCATGTCTTGGAATAACTCCGGATCATCTTCGTGAAACAATAAGTATTTTTCTAACGATTTAACAGCATTAAATGCTTGTTGAATAACTATCATTGGCATTACGACTTCGGCAGGTTGTTTTTCCTCTTCAGAATGCCCTCCAAAATTACTCAAACGTTTTGATATAAGATTATGCTCAGTGTGTGTGATTTGATCCAATTTAAAATGTGGGGCACTCGTTATCTCGATAAGTGGCACTTAATTTTTTTTTTACTGAACATATTTAAAAAAAAGATTTTGAGATTTACGATTTTTTTTTGCACACATGGTTGCTATTGGTCACTAGAACAGTACAATAGTAATATGAACGATTAGTATTCATTGACGTTGGCTCCCACTGGAGCAGACGAGGTAAAAGCGTGCATTATAAATCGTATCGTTTATGATTTCGAATTCGAACAAAGAAATTATTACATCTCAAAATAAATATAATGTGATAGTTGAATGTATGTGTGCAGCTCATACAGGTACTCGACAACTATTTAACCGATTTTGTGAAAATTCCAAATCGTTCTTGGGGTTTCCAGGAAAATTCAGAGAATCTAATTTGAATCACGTTTGATTTATACAATACTGCAAGTGCCGTTTCCATTTTCCAATCGGTATTTTTAAATAACAGTAAACGAAGAGCGCTACAGGATCACCTCGTTCATTTATAAATAATAAATATAAGTGTTGCCTTCCACGCATATTATACGATATTAAAACCGTTTACTTACTATGGAGAAGAAAAAGTGGGCGGACGATTGTGAAAAAAACGACACTTCTTACTTATTGGCACCCCCACAAGGTGGCGCCACCGACTAAACTATTACTACGCTTCGAATTTGTTCGTCTCACGCAAAAGTCAGACGAGACCATAACAATATTATTGCGGCGTGCGTTAAATTATTATAGTTCCGCAACAATATAATCTCTGTGGCAGACACCATAACAATACGTTTTTATTAATAAATATTCATAAATATTTGACGGACACCTGTAGGTTAGGTATGTTGGAAAACGCGAGGTGTTGTGCTCTAATCGAAGTCCTCAATACTATAATTACACGATGCTAATGTTTTTTCATCATTCAACGTATCTGATGTACAAATCAATTTGCCCGACCATATTATTAGGTATCCAAACTATTTTTTTTTCAATCATAATACGAATAATATGACAATATAATGGAAGGAAACAAGGGGGCACACATTAACATAATATATTATTTTAATATATTGTATACAATTTTAGAAATACAAATTTAAAATGGAAAAAAACATATTACTACCCATGTTTAATATTATTGTGTAATTATTTATTTTTCAATTAAAAAAAAAAAAATTGTTTGTCCGGTGGATACCGCTCTGCTGTCCTGTATTTGTGTACGTCATTGTAATGGATGTGTTATATTTGAAAAACTGAACTTTCCGGTGAACTTTTTTTCCGATAGAAGTAGAAAAACTTGTTGGAAATCTTCTATTCAAATTTCTAGTTTAGTCTATGAAAAGTAAAAGGGTATAAATAGCTCAAATTAGTCAACATTTCTCCATGTATGGAATATTCTAATATAAATGTTTGGTGAAAATTTCAAGTGTCTATGGATATTCGTTTTAGAAAATAAATGCAACAAAATATCAAAAATTGATTAATTGGAGTTCGTTAATAATGTACAGCTCAATATCAAATATCGTAAAAATTATAAATTCAAATGCTTATAAAAAATTGATATTACTTTTCAGTAAACTTTTTTTTTCGAGGTACAAAACTTTGTGATCAATCTTTTATCTTTTTAAAGTTTCTAATGTAAGCTATGAATTGAAAAACATTTATTAACCTCTAACTGAAAAATAATTTACAAAATTTAGGGATTTTGATGAATTATGTCAAAATTTTAACTTTGAATGCACATGAAAAAGGCTTATAATATAGTTTATAAATTTCAAAATATTATCATATATAGTGTACGCTAATATAAATATTTGGTGAACATTTCTAGTTTTTACAGTTTTTATTTTTTGAGTTACACCAAAAAAAATATCGATTTTTCAAAAATTGATTTTACTTAAAAATTACAATTTTTTTTGGTTATTCGAGACATTTTAAAAGACTACTAGAATTATTTATCCATGGAAATATACCTGAATATTTTTTTCAATTTTTGACTCACAAGACCATCAACTTGACTCACTTTATTATCAGAAAATATGTTGTTGACTGACAGGATATAATTTATATACTCTTGCGCTACAAATACATTATAATACATTAAAACGTTTAGTTTTTAATTTTTAGTTCTGAAAATGGTTATTTGTAAATCTAATTTTTATAAACATTTTGATTGTAAAAACGTTTATCTAAGTCAAGCAGTTTATTTTTTACAATTGTTTAAAATGTTAATACTTTTATGGAATAAATTAATGAACAACATAATATTTTTTTTCTAAATATTATTTTTTCAGGAATTTTCAGATACCAAAAAATCTTAAAATGTTATCATCCATAATATAATTCTTACAATTTTTCTGCTATGTTTTCGAAAATATATAATGCGATATGAAATATTACGTTAAATTGGCTACGTGGTTAATAAAAACCAATGTTGGCCTGTTTA